TAAAATAACCCAGTACTCTTTCTTTTCCCCCTTGAATCTGTGAAAGCATTCCTCCAATTCTCTCATTACTGGCGTCAGTATCCAGAATAAATTCTCCCTCTGGTAGTGGGTAGCCTAGTATTAGAGCTGTTGTTAATTGCTTCTTTAGTGTTTCAAAGGCAGTTTGGCAGTCTTCATCCCAGTAGAATTCTCTCGATTCTTCTGTGAGTCATGTTAATGGCTTAGCAACACCTGCAAACTTTCTGATGAATCTTCGGTAGTACGTACAAAGGCCAAGAAAACTTTTAATTTGGTGTTTATCAGTTGGTTGTGGCCACTCTTTGATAGAAGCGACTTTTTCCTTATCTACAGCCCCGCCATAATTGCTGACTACATGACCCAGGTAAATAACTTAATTTTAAAATAGTTGGCACTTCTTGGGATTTAGCATCAGTTGGGCAGCTTGACGTCATCTAAAAACATTTTCTAAGTTCTTTAGATGTTGATCAAAGGTCTTCCCCAAGACTATGGTGTCGTCTAACTACACCAGGCATGTTTTCCAGGATAATCCTCTCAATACATTTTCCATTAGTCTTTTAAAATGACGCGGGGGCATTACATAGTTCAAACGGTATAACATCAAATTGCCACAATCCAGATCCGGTGCTAAAAGCTCTCTTTTCTTTATCTACTGTGTCCATTTCCTTTCAGCTTCCTCTTTTTTGGCTTTTGGTAATCTTCGAGTTAATTGACGAATCGGCCTGGCGTCATAGTGTCAATTTTGTGTTTTACAACAGAAGTTATTCCTGTTTTTCCTCCTTTAGGTACAAAAATGTCACGATATCGTCGAATAAATTCTTTATTTTCTTTTTCTCTAATTGATTCAGAGATTGACCAGCAACTGCAATCATTTGCTTAAATTTGTCGTTGGAATTATCAGAAGTTGTTGTTGTTTGACGAATTATGGAAGTTACTGGTACATAAGTTCCGATTCTGGTCTCTTTCTTGATGGTAATTGGGTGATCATTAACGTTTATAAAATTCGATTTTCCTCTAAGTTCGAAATTTTCCTTTTCATATAGGTACATCCTGAAATGTTCCACTGTTCGAACTAGCGCAAATGCGTCTTTCTTAGTTTGACAGTATCTCTTTTCACAATCGATGAGGCTCTTATTATCATATGCTAGACCAGATTGATTATACTGAATTAAAATGCATCCTCGAGCTACAGGACTAGCATCAGAGATAACTTTGCTTCTATCTGATGCCTGCTTAACATTTTAAAAATCTGAGATTTGTTCTTGTTGCCAATATTCTATTATACTAGCTTATTTGCCTGTTTTTATTCTTAACATCTTTCGTAAGGATTCTATTAGGGTTGCAATGTTTAGAATTCATTTACCAATGTAATTAGGCTTAAAATACTTTGTATTTCTTTAGTGTTCTTTGGGATTCTAAATGATTTAATAACCCGTATGTAACTATTTAAAGTCGAATTCCTTCCCACGATAGTTGATGGCCTAAAAATCAAACTGCTTTTTCCACTATTTAGTCAATGATATTTTCCTTAAAATGTTGAAACTGGCATTTCTGGCACTTATTTCTTAATAAAAATAAAAAAATTTCAAATTTTTCCCCCTGCTCTTGTTTCAAATGACAAAACAGGCATCGTTCGTATATTTAACTTTGCTATAGAGATAAATTCTTGTCTAATTTTTGAATAGCTATTTGATAAACATCAATATCGAATTATCTCTCGACGTCTGCTCTTGTAGACTAAGACCCGCCATGTACAGCAAATTAACTCGCTTTTTAATGGCAATTCAATATTTGTCGCATCTAAGTAGACATTAAAGGCTCTTTTCCATTTCTGCCATCTTAGACCAAGGTTTGCCCTTTTATCATAATCTAGTTAAATAAAACACCGATTCGGTCTTTACAGCTGGGCTATTGCGTATTTACTCACTCATAGTCTTTTGCAAACAAAACATATTCGTTGTTACACCAAGTACATGATTCATTGGTATACTACACTCACTATCACAGTGTTTTCTATTTGGTAAAATTTCGACAATCAACGATTTTATGATCTGGTCTCATTTGTCCCTTCGCCTAAAAACCGGTTTGTAATACTCCCTATATCACAATTGTCCCACATTTACAACAAAACATTTCTGTAATTATTTGCACTAATTTTACCTCTAGCCAGTAGATACAGGCACCTCCTAGGGCCTGTAACACACATTCTTTTTGGTGCATTCTCTGACAAACTAAGAAAGCGAGATAAAATAGAAAAGTGAAAAGAAATGGCAATAATGGCCCAAAGTATTCGTTTACTTCCCGCAGATAAGGATTGGACCTAGGTAAGGGATACAATGTGGCAGAATTTGAAGAAAACTGCAATAGTGAGTAATTCTGTAACTTGCAGTGTTTATGTTATTGACTTGTGGTACATATATATTTCTAGATTAAAATTGATAATGCTAAGAAAACTAGAACCGGTGGAATGGGAATGTTAACTAAAGTTGATAAATATGGTATTAGAAAAATAATTGAGAAAGAGTCTTCTGTAATTTGTGGACTAGGAGTAGCTGAGTCGTTCGAAAAACATCAGGAACAGTCATGTGAAACAATCCCAGAGGATGACTCTGAAGGTATTGTCAACAGAAGGCGACCAATCAGTAAACACGTGACCCCACCTACTTCAAAAGAAACCTATGGTAAGCTAACATCGAGGCTAACATAACTAGAAAACATATTAGTGTATTTAAGCAATATGAAAAGCAGCTATATTTCTAGTTTATTACTTAAATTAGGCTTAATAAACATGTTTAGAAGCTGCTGATGACCCGTAAATAAATAAAAATACCAAATTTAACACAATCATATTTAATTTTACTATAATATACCACATATACTGGGTTGAATTTTTTTAGTGCTGCATAAAACTGTCGACTAAATTAAATTTGTTTGTTTGCAGGAAAACGAAAACGAGTTACCGCAAACAATGCATGTACAGACAATGCATCTGCTTTAAAACAAGGAAAGCTCACGTTGCAAGTTGAATACCTCAAACTGAAGAATTATAAAACTAAACTGGAAATACGAAAATTAGAGCAAGAACTCCAACTGCCTCTATCTGAGTTTACGTCAACGTTACCACAATATAATTATGAAATTGAAAATGGCAGGTGCTATCAAAATTTGTAATAGAAACTTCACATACGAACCAAATAATTATTTAGTTATGTTATTTTCTTGTTAATTTTTAAAATATAAAGCGTGTTAATTTATAAATATTATATATTTGATAAACATTGATAAACTATTTATAAGAAAAGCGAATATTTTTATTATGACTACAATAATATCAATTTCTCCCAAAATTATTGATGAGTTCTTGTAATCTAGCTTGGGCCCCGGCAGCAGGTGCATCATCTTCGCGATTTTCATAATTTTCTGCATCTAGGGCGTCTTCGTCATCTTGTAATGCAAAATTTTCTGCTTCGTGATTAATTTTTGAAATATTACATAGAGTCGCGCAACATTTAAAAATATTTGCGGCAAACATGGGATTAACGCGTAGATGATTCAAACAAGGAAATTTTTCTTTTAAAATGCCGAAAGCATTTTCAATAAATCGTTTTGTTTGTTTATGAGCCCTGTTAAAATTATACTGGGCTGGATTTAACAGATATTTATATGTTGGTGGAATCAACCATTGCTTCAGCGGATAAGCGGTCTCCTAGAATTACAGCATTGGGATGGGGTATCCAACCATTTTCCATTCGGCGAAATAAGGAACTATTTCGCAATACCCGTGCGTCGTGAACACTACCGGGCCAGTTGGCACTAACGTAGTAGAATTTTAGATCTGGGCCACAAACAGCCATACAGTTTATTGAGTGGTTACCATGCCGATCCACATAGGCTGGTTCGTTAATTCTGGGAGCGTCTATATTTATAAGTGTTTCATCCACTACACTACATACTTCAGGAAAACCGGCTACTGCATGAAATCTTTGTACAATATCCAACGTATTATGGGGCCATGACACTACTTCTTCGAATTTGATTTCATTGACAGCACTGACAGTATCATGTACACACCTACACACAGTCATTTTTGATACCCCATGCATATCACAAACACCATGGTACTGACCTCCATTTTCCAACCAATGGAGAGCAAATAATGTCTTCTGTGGCGGTGTCAATCCATACCATCTAACTGTTGTATTTGCAAGTCGTGGGCCAATATCCCGAAGAAGATCTTTAGATTGAACTCGGCTCAGACGAAACCTTTCATTGAATTCATTATCAGTGAGAAAAGCAAAGACTTTTCTTGCACTGAACCGATATTCTCTAGGCAGATCTTCATGGTCACTCTCAGAACTTGACCACATAGTGGGGACAGATACGTACGTGTTTACAGTACGAGAATTGCTATAATACTGAGTGTTTACCCAGAGTTTTAGATAGATAAAACCTTAACTACACTTGTAGAAAATTCTGGAACACAATTATACAAGTGTTAACTTTATGTTACAGAATACGTGTGCATATGTAGAAATTCTTCCGTAATTACTGGTGCCGTACGGGTAGTTACAAGTTGAGTTGTGTTATGGAAAAGCTACAAGTGTAAAATTTATTCTAACAATTGTAGGACTTGTATGGCTTGTGTTATAGGCCCCAGGATGGAATCAGATATAATCTAATTTGACGCAAATTCTTTTAAAAATATGAAAAATAACCCGTTCTTAATATACTAATTTTAATTAAATTATATAAGGTAACTGCAAAAAAGGTTTCTAAACTAGGCCTTGGAAAATTTACATTTGTCAGATCTTTGAATTTTTATTTATTTTATGTGTCAATTTAGATTTAATTCAAAGCCGAGCGTATTTATCACAAACATGACACGTATCTGTCTTTGTCGGCCAGGGACTACTTTAGAAACATTTTTTGTGGATATCTTTGTTACTTGCTTGAATATATTTAACATACTTCGTTTGTTTCAGTTGACGTTTGACAGCTTCACCTTAGGTCGCTTCGTGTCTTTCACAACGGACGGTTGTCCGGACGGTGCCTTACAAATCACGGAATCCAACAGACCCCAGGTTGGGGGCTCTTGGTGCGGAACGTCTTGGGGTCCCGCTATCTATTACAGTGAAACTAAAAGTATTACCATTTCCGTGAATCTTTTTCGTCTTTCTAAAGTTGAGAATGGCTACAATTTCGATTACCGAATGGAATACAAGTTTCTGCGGAAGAAGAATGCTATTGTGCGGTATGGAGGAAGTAAGTTTTTTTTTGTATTCTATCCCAATCTTCAGTACTTTTTAAATAAACGAAATAAGATAGAAATGTGTGGTTTCAACCACTGAGTTTCAAATTTCGAAAAGTTTTTTCCGAAGCACATTAATTTTTTTCCATTTATACAGAACGAGGAAAAAATTTGCCTATTTTCAACTAAAAATTTCCATATTGCTAGTAGATATTCAATTTTTTAAAGAACGCATTTTCTGCTTTTTTTTATTTTTTTTTTATTTTCGTTTGTACACTGTAATAAGTAAAAAAATAAACATGCAGAAAATACGTACTTTAAAAAATTGAAAAGCTATGCGATAATCAAATTAATGTAATTTTAAATTATTTGTACAACTTAAAATGCTCATGCTGGCATTTTTTAAAACCTAAAGAACTCAGCTTTCGAATGGTTTAAAAATATGCAGGGTGTTCTATTTAAACAAGACAAGTTATTTTTAGTTGAAAATAGGAAAAATTTTTCTTCGTCCTATATAAATGGGAAAATTTGCTAATGTGATTGGGTAAAAACTTTTCGAAATTTAAAACTCACTGGTCAAAACCGCACATTTTTATCTTATTTCTTTTTAGTCAATAATCACGTTTAAAATGTGTCAATTTATAGATGGGCACCTTCTATTTCTAAGTTTATATAAATTCCTCCCTTAAAATATTGGGAAGTGGCAGTAAATAATTGAGGATTTTAATATAAATTGATTTAATACTGCCTATCGTTTTATTAAAAAATATTTTACTGGGAGTGTTTTTTCAACTTTTTTAATTCTTCGAGTATCCAAATTCAGATTGTTTAAATTCGTTGGAATAAAACATATCTTTAGGTATTTATTTTAAATATATCAGACATTATTCTCTTTTATAGCACATCATTTTTACCTATCTGTTTAAGATTTTTATTCAATATATTGCTACTATAAGTTATATATATTATATAAATTTAATCAAATACGATATAATATAGGAAATAGTAATTTCAAAAACCACATAGAAGTTATATGACAGCTTTAATTATTTCTCTTAAATAAGCATCGTAATAAAAAAAAATTATTTTAGGATACATTTTGTTCTTTGAAAACTCTGCAAATTTCTTCAACATGGATAGGGCCTAAAGGAGACCAGACAATGAAATAACAATATTCCTTGCCTGAAAGATGTAGCTGCCCTTGTATTTGGTAGTAATACGGATAAGTGTTTCTTAAATACAACAACCCCTCCTCATCATTAGCAAGAAATTTAATTTTCTTTACAGTTACTCTTTGTTCTATTGAGCAGCTTTTCAGGACAAAGGGATATTTTACTTCAATAGTAAAATTGTTGTCGTCTTCAATTAAACCATCTGGACTAGCATAAATTTATATCAAATTTACGTACGTAGAAATAAAAAAATTAACTTATACCTATTGATATCTAATACCCTCACACACCATTTTAAACTAATTCGGACGAAGTTAAAAAGATCCCCTCACCACTCTCGTGGACAATGGGGAGGTGGAAATTTAAAAATACCATAGGGTGGCATTGTCACCGGAACTATAAATACCTAAAGATTATTACCCATTTGATTTTTGGTGAAAATCTATTTAGCCGTTTTTTCTAAACCGTTGACGTAAATTTCAGACAGACAGGCACACAGACATGTTTTTCGGAACCAGGGCCCTTCAAAACGTGAAAATTAATCAAAATCTCGAGGTCAAAATTTTGGGCGATCACAATACTTCCCGTCAATAATATCTCAATAATATCATTCAAAAAATACAATTAAGGGAAAGTAAAAAGGGGTAGAAATATCAAAATGTAAAAATGTTACTTATGGTACTTACCGCATTCTGGATTGGCCATAACGCCGTTTGCCCAATTTGGCAATACTTTTATTTTTTTCCAATTTCTTCACAATAAAAGTTCAAAACTCACAAAAAAATCACTTCATTCTACAAATATCTTTTACTTAATGCACAATGCAATCAGAGTCACGAAATATATATACATTTACATCATGAATCACCTACCTTGATAGGTATTTCCCATTGCGATTCGCAGGTAGCTGATACTTCAACCCCTATCAATATTCTTCAAAACATTGTTATTAAACCAGATAAGTGTCAATAAATAACACTTTAAAGTTTTATTGAATATTAAAATAACCTATAAAATAACCTATATAAATACATAGAATTAACTTTATTAACCCATTTATAAAGTTTTATAAAACAATAATTGCTTTTTAATTAGGGGATTAAAAGATTTAAGATTGTTATTTTGGAATAATATATTATTGATTTCTCGAAAAACTTTATTCTTGATAAACGCGTCTGCATCAGCCAAATATATTGTATTTTCTTTTTTTACCTTTGAAGTTTGTATAATATTAATTACAAATCCGCTTTTAAAATATATTGACAAAAATATACACTAAATGTTCATTTAAATTTATAAAATTATTTTAAAAAATGCAGGAGGAAAGTAAAACAGCCATAGTGTTAAAAACATAAAAATCCAGAATCTCAGAAAGATGTAACACATCCAAGCTCGCTCGCCACGGCACTGGTGAGAGTTTCGACCAGCGCTAACAAATATTTTATTTATTTTTAGCAAGTTTTAGAACAAAAACTTTTATTTTTGTTGTGCGCTCAAACGGCTAAAGATAAAAGCATGAAATTTTGGGAATGGTTACATCTAACTAATATCTAAAAAGTAATGGCAGCAGATTTTTGAAAAAAAATAAAAACCGGATTGAAAATATTTTTTTCCCAAAAATTAGACTTTTCAAAAAAAAATCTGCTCCCATACTTTTTTTAGAAGTATGAAGTAAATTAACTCCCAAAATTTAAAAAAAATCGCTTGGTAAATAACGGCGTTTGACTTTTATTTCAAATAAGCGAGGGTATGTATTCCTCTTAATAGTACCACTCTTCAGATCAGACGTATGCACAAGGATCTTACCACATTCTACAATATACTACACTCGTATAGCTTTAGTCCAGAGTTATTGGGAAAAATCAATATCCATGTTCCTTCGAGACATACAAGGCTTATTCAAACCTTTAATATTAGTCAACATCGGACTAACTATGGACATAATTCTTTTCTATTAAGATCGGGTAGATTTGAAGACCTTGGTGCAAAAACCGGCCAAGTCCTAAAATCAAAATTTGTGGGAAATCGAGAAAAACATTCTAAATTTGGAAATAAACTTGCAGTTGACCCAAATTTCGGTTTGATTATAGATATCATTGATATTTGATGTACGGTTCAGTATAAAATCGATATTTTGTAAAAATCAGGCCAAAAGTGATTTTTGAAAATTGGGACTTGACTGACTTTTACACCAAAATATTGATCAAAAAAACACAAACGTGAAAAACCATCATTTATTTCTCACATAAACTTTTAATTGAATGCAGTACTACATAAAAGAAGAGTCTGATTCATAAGCTGCGTCTTCTAAGGGTTCCTCTCGGGAGTCTACCTCCTCCACTGCGGGCTTTGGCCCTGGTTCTTCCCCAACTTCCCCGAATATTCTACTTTAGTAACCTTGGTATGCTTCTAGAACATATTTCTTAACCGGTAGCTTCACATCTGGCAGCTTTTTTTCATTTATTGGCAAAGGGTAGCCCTGGACCATTTTTGTCATAGGTAGCGATAAATAACAGCCAAGTTTAGTAGCAGAAAACTTAGTGAAAACTGGAAGGGAAACACTAGTGCTACATTCAATGAAGTTAGAACCGCTTTGATATTTAAATAATCGAAATGTTGAGATAGAAAATTTCGTTTTATTATTTTGGCTGGTGACAAATGGGTTTAAAATGCTCGTTGAGGTCCATTATTATGTCTTGGGTTACATCTGTGGCCCGAAACTTTTTGCTGGTTTCTCTTACTAGTTCTTTCCATTCAGCAGGTACGTAAACTCGTTCTCTTCTCCTTTTTTCGTTCTCAGCCAAACCAAAGGAGCGGTCACAGGGTAAGAAACTATGACCAGGCTCAAGATATAGATGAATAAACTGAGCAATATTTTTAATACGCTGATTAACCAAGGTAAACAAATATTTAGTGATAGTACGATTTTTGTTCTGTGCAAACGAGTTGTCAGAAAACAGGTATAATGTTGTTACAGAATCAGATCGGAATATAGTAATATAATGGTGAAGAAAACTTATGACTTCGTTGCTACTTTTTTTGGATGTGGCCTCGTCGTACATGTAAAATGTTGATAATCTGGTTTTTCCTGAGAAAATACAAAAATTGTATTGCCATAGCTGTCGCTTGTAAAAAACCTCTCCCGCCGGAACATGGGGTAGAGGAAGGTTCTGCTGGTAGTCGAAACATAAAATCTCTACTGTTTCGTCTGTTTTAGTAAGCTGTTTTTTCTTTCATCGACGTATAGAATGCTTCTGCTTTTCTGAATACTGTTTTTCCTGTCTGTAGTACATGTTTGGCCTCACGATCCTGCTTTGCTGCTATTAAGTTCTCTAACCTATCGCATGTCTGACATGTGTCCGAACGAGGAGAGCCAAAGCTTATGTTGTAATTTTCCCGAAAATGACGAAAGTAGAAATCATACGAAACTTTTGGTTGGCATTTTTCTCCACGTTCAAGTTTTTCAGAGACATCTGGTTCATATTTTTCCAAGTATAACTTATGCATCTTGGAAACATTCAAATCAAATGATAGATAAGTTCGGCAACAGATTACGTCCACACGGCACGCGCACGAATAAGAAACAATAACATGCCTCCCGTCTAGTAAGCGGAGCGCGCGATCGTCAACGGTCATGTCCTCCCACTCCGCGACTATCAGCTTTGGTGCAAAAATCGACCAAGTTCTGGACTGGTTTTTGCCCCAAAGAGTATGGTCAGCCAAGTCCTTCGAGCATTTCAACCCATTAATATATGTCGGAGTTGTCAGATTTTTGCACCAATCGATCAAGGATGCTTTAAATAATATACCAAGTGGTATAACGCAATTTCGCCCAAAAGTGGACTTGCCCGGTTTTTACTAATCAATATTCTGATAGATTGGACTGCTTTGATAATAAAAAAATCGTTAAATCCCAGCTTAAATCATACATGTGATGTCTAGATAATTTAATTTAACTTATTTACAATTGTTATCCTGTTTTTTTTTATATTTAATTTTTTCTTGTTTATGTTAATTTTATGGTAATGTGTATTTATTTTTTTCAACATTCTTTAAGTGTAGGTTAGGTTTTAAATTTTCCCTTTTAATAAACTTGTATTTTAATTGGGCAATTGCTCGTTGATAAATAAATAAATAAATTTATTGATGCTAATATGCTCTAAAAAACATTTTGGAAACCACTCTTAATGCGCAATTCGTACCAGAAGTTCGAGTGTAATCTTTTGGTTGGATACTCAAGAGATGTCCCCAACCAACCTTAAATAATCATGATATAAGCCGTGAATAATTTTATTTGATTAATATACTTCTTAATATTTTATTACTATTACTTATTTAACGCTAAAGTAAACCTTGTGCTTGTACGTAAATGTTTACGTTCTTTGGAGCAATATGTATTTTAAGGGGGACATACGCTGTGGGTTGGACCTTTTCATGAGGAAAGATATGTTTTGTGCATGTAAGTAAATGTTAATTTATTGAGAAAAGTTTTTTGTATTATTTTAGAATAGTAAACGTGGATCTCTAGATTTAAGTGACCCTGTTAACTAGCTAGGTCATTAACGATGCCCTAATAGATAAATTTGCTAAGGATGGCATCAATCAAAATATTGATAAGGACTTCTCGGCACCTTTAAGAACTTACACAGATAAAAACAGATACTGCACAAAAACATTATTTTTTCGAAAACTTATAAAAAAACATAAATTGCAACGTGTGGGGCCGGTAGAAAACAACCAGGCTTTAAGCGCCGTTAGATGTTAATACGTCACTGATCAAATTGTCCTCGCGCAGGTCATTAATTTAGTAAATTTAGATCAATGTTCTAAAAAAAAATAGACAGATAGTTTCGAAATTCACCTCAATTCAATTAAGGATTTTATTATTTTGTGTTTTGGGAAATGAATAAAACATACTTTTGTTATTTCAGACACTAACACAATATTTTATATTCTTTTTGTTTGCTTACTTTCTTTAATTTGCCGTATATATTATATTACATTTTGTCGAGAAATTTTATTTTGTGGACATATAAACCAACTTAGTTAACTATTTGTTTCACACCGCAGAAGCCGTTATAACTTTTCTGAGTTGAGATAAGGCGTAAAAGGACCAAAAGTAGAAAACTTTTTTCATAAGAACATAAAAATTGCGTTTATGTCACGTTTTTTATAACATAGCAGTTCATAAATACTGTACCTAATGT